TAGAAATGAGTTTTATTAAGATTTTATAAATGAAGAAATAACCAGTGCACAACAATTCCATGACTTGTTAAAGGTCACAAGCAAAATAATAAAGCTGAGATTGTAAAACCAGGTCTCTGATGAAGAAGCCAAGTTCCATTTCCACAACAGTTAAGAGGGGCATAGGGTTTACTGTGCACGGTCCTAAACATATCATCCCTCAATTAACCTACCGCTCTCTTACCATTCTCAAATTATAGCTGAGGAAATTGAGGCAAAATAACTTGCCTATCATCAGCCATCCTGGAAAATGACAGAGCCAAGATGCAAACTCAGGCAGCCGATCTTGAATTTTAGACTCCTATCTAGAGCCTGGTGGCATAATGATTATGCATCGGGCTGATAACCCAAAGGTCAGCAGTTCAAAACCCACCAGCAGCTCCTCAAGAGAAAGTCGGGCTTCTACTCTCCTTGAGTTAACGGTCTGGGAAACCCACAGGGGCAGGTCCACCCTGCCCTTACAGGCACCAGGAGTTAGAACGGCCTCAGTGGCAGTGAGTCCAGCTTTTCCTTGCAGCTCCACCCCATGTCCCACGCTTGTTCCGTAGCAGGATCAAGCGGCAAACACCAAGATTTACTAGTTATACTTTTCACATACTGTGCTCGATTGTATCATAGTCCAAGTATTCACTGCCCCTCTCTGTTTGGCCTGTTTGTAGGGAAGGACCCTATGGGACTCGGACATTCCTTTGGTCACATGACTTGATTAGGCCAATAATATGTGATTGGAAGGGAAGCAGAAGCTCTAAGCATCACTGTGAGGTTTTGCCATTTCCCCTCTGCCTTGAAACCTTACCAGCCCCTTACAGCCTCCAAGGCCCTAGAATGAAAGAGTTGGGGCAGGGCTGCAGACGATATGCCAAGATAAGATCTGAAGCAACAAGTACCTCAAGTATTGTAAGCCACTGACCTTTTGAAGCACCTTTTTCCCCATGGCATCATTTAGACTAGACAGACTAAATAGATACAATTTGATTATTTCATGTTCAAAGGAAATCCTAGTCCACACTGTTATTGAATCAATTTCAACTCATGGGGGCACATCACAACAGAACTGCTCTAAGATCTCCAAGACTGGGAGCAGATAAAGCCTCACCTTTTCAAGTGGTGGCTTCAGGGTTCCAAACACCGACTTTTCCGTTTGCAGCTGGGCTCAGAACCTGTCACCTTAATTACCTTCTTAATGAGCCCCAGGAAGAAATTAAGATTCTAAAAAGTTCAGTAATTTGCTCAAAAACTTAAAATCCTAGCAGCAAAGATTTGGACTTTCCTGCTGGTCACATCGGTTCCAACTCGTAGAAACGCTGTGCACAGCACAATGAACCCCTGCCTGACCCTCACCACTGTTACGTTTAAGTCTATTGTTGCAGCGATTCCTCCGTTCCTCATGTTGAGGGGCTTGCTCTTCTTTCTCACTGCCCTTCTACTTTAACAAACACGATGTCCTTTGTCAGGGACTGGCCCCTCCTGACACCAGGTTCTAAGTGCATGAAGCAGTCTTAACCATCCTTGCTAATGTCAGATAAACCTTAGCTGAAAGCAGAGACTACCAGAAAGGTGCTTGCTTGCCTTTTATTGACTATTCAAAGGCAACTGATTATGTGGTTTATAACAGACTATGGATAACATTGAGAATGGGAATCCCAGAAAACTTTATTGTGCTCATGCAGAGCTGTATACGCACCAAGAGACAATCAAAGGAACAGAATCAGGGAACACTGCATGGTTTCAGAAAGGTGTGCCCCAGGTTATCTCCTCTCATCATACTTATTCAATCTGTATGCTGAGCAAACACCCAGGAAGCTGGACTAAGTGAAGGAGAACTCAGCAACAAGATTAGAGGAAGGCTTACTATCAACCTGCCATAAGCAGATAGCATAACCTTGCTTGCTGAAAGCGAAGTGGGCTTGAACCACTTGCTGAGGAAAATCACTGCG